TTCCAATATAAAGTAATTTTTATTAAACCAAAACATTTATCAATTGTTAAGCCGACCCAGCAATTTAGGCTGAGGAGAGTGTAGAATACATTGCATGCATTCTTTTACATTGGTTTTTTATATTTCATAATCTTAATATGTTCCTTTTTAAGCACATCATATGTTTCAAAATACATATTTCTCTAATACATTGAGATCTGAGATATTGCACAGTATAGTAATCTATTTTTAGGGTAGAGATTAAAAGGTGGATTGGATCGAATGGACTGGATTCATGTAATTGTAATCTCCAAAGCACTTGGAATGAACAAGTTGTTGAGGATGACTATGTATTTAAAAAGAACCTTACTAAAATATTGTACCAAAATTATATGTATAAGGAGAAATGGAAGTGTGATTTACAATTATACCCAGTTTTAAGAACATACATTAAATTCAAAACAACTTTTGAAAGAGAACAATATTTAAGCCTTCAAAACAAAAATCACAGGCAATCAATTTCACAACTGAGATTAAGTTCACATAAATTACAAATAGAACTGGGTAGACATGATAAACCACGGCCAAAACCTGAATATGAAAGATTATGTTAATTTTGTGGGGAAATAGAAAATGAGGTTCATTTCATGATTAAATGCCATTTACATAGAGAAAATAGAAAAATATTGTTTGACAACATCACTAGCAAAATTAATGTTGATCAACATGATCCTGAAAATACATTCATTATGTTAATAATATCTTCAAAAGATACATTTTGGATGCATCACACCTAAAGTATATTATAACATATGTAAATAACAAGTTTTTTGTATAAATTGTATATATTAGTGTAGTGTAGTTTTGTGAAATTTCATTTTGTAATGACTAATATGTCAGGTCATGACTTCTAAAGAGTCAATAAAAGATATATATATGTATATAAAAGCTGGATTGGATCGGGAATCTTCAAAATGTGTAATTTCCATACAAGTTAATTCATTTGTATGTGATTATGCTGTGTTTACACTAATGCTAATAATTTGAAAAGATCTCCACTTATAGATTATATTTTTATATTTATTGGGAGACCCCAGGGTGCCTTCTATTAATTTTTTACAGATATCATCATTTATTCATTATTCTCCACACTTTTTCTTCTACTTCCAAGTACGCTTTCAACCATATATTACATGCTCCTACTAAAGACTTGGGCTAAACTTGACGAGAAAGTATTTTTATCTAGGTCAAAGTCATACGTCAAAATATAGGTCAAATCATCTACAATATATTTGACCTGCAAATTGTTAGTAAGCCTACAGGGCCTCCATAAGATTTCTTACAATCTTGATGTCTAGTTAATATCATATTGCGCATTGCATAAATGAAAATAAGCATGCACTTGGTAAGACATATTATGGCAAAATATAAGAATATAAGTCACTAGCTTGTCAAAAAATCTATTCCACATTTTGAAAATTACCAATCCAATCCACCTTTTACATGAATCCAATCCACTCGATCCAATCCACCTTTTAATGCTTACCATTTTTAGACTAGCTTTTCCTTATAAGTCGATCCAAGATCTTGTGAAAGTTGAGATGAATTTGGGATCAATTGGGTCTCACCTCATTAATCCAGGATCTGAATAATTAATTTGGTATCTTAATCTTTTTTTTAGAATACAACCATTTGTTTCTCCTATATATAGTAAGGATATAGTAATATAATATGCAATAGGGATCAATCAGGTGAGACTGGCTGACTACCCTTTGCATTCGTTCGACTTCACTTCTCAAAAGAGAGCTTTGTCTTCAGTTTATATAAACTAGACTCTGCGCGCAGGGTATGGTTGACCTGTTAGGTATAAAAACCAATGTTCCAAGAATTGCAAGTTCTTTTAGATAGAGTTTTTGATAGAGATTTTAGAGAGAATTAAATTAAGTTTTGGAACAGTAAGACATATATTGTAGTTACCAAGAGATTGGAGAAATAAAATATATTAAAACGCATCTAAAGAGATAGTACTCTGTGCTTGATTTCAAGACTTTAAATATACGTAACAATATGAACATGAAGTCACAGTATATTTAGGTTCAGAATTTTAATGCATTTTGTGATCAAAGATGCTTTTTCTCATTACAGACCTAAAACAGTATCACAATAGCAGCACATATACAGTATTATTCATATATAAACAGTATATCCTTTGTTAATAATACATATCACATGTAAACAATATATACACAAGCCCATAAAACAATATAAATATGCCATATATTTGGTATCCTCCATATAACAGGGTTCGAAACTCACAGCTACCTGACTGCCAATGGCAACCAGGTAATTAGGCTTAATACCAATGGCAACCAGGTAATGAACTGAATGCCAATGGCAACCAGGTAATGAACTAAATGCCAATGGCAACCAGGTAATGGACTGAATGCCAATGAAAACCAGGCAATTGGACTGAATGCAAATGGCAATCAGATAATGGACTAAAATGCCAATGGCAACCGGGGAATGAACTGAATGCCAATGGCAACCAGGTAATGAACTGAATGCCAATGGCAACCAGGTTATGGACTGAATGCCAATGGCAACCAGGCAATGGACTGAATGCCAATGAAAACCGGGTAATGGACTGAATGCCAATGACAATCACGTTTTAACTGTAGTCATGAACCCTGCCATATAATCTTTGTTTCTTATTTTATTAAATATTTCAAATAAATAAAAATTATAAAATAAATCATTTATGTAATTGCAAACTTTCAATAGATTGAACACATGTATAATATAATTACATGTACATTATCTGATGCATTGTCATGGTGATAAATTATAAATCATTTGGTTTCTACTTTGATCATCCTCCTAAGCAGGTATCCAGAATCCGTACCTCCTTCTCCCCCCTGCTATAACCAATTTGGAAGCGCCCGATTAAACTGAATCACATGATCTAATTATGAGCAATGACTTATACATGATTTCTGATGCAATGTTGCAACAGCCAATCAGATTGCGAGTTCTTAATCAGGGAAATGCTAACTCCTTATCCCAGGGGGTAAAAAGAAAGAGAATATATTCTGGATTTTGAAGCCCTGTGATCAGAGGATGACTTTGATCGATTCTAACAATGTAAGAGTATTTTCCTTGATGAACATTGTATGTTCTATAAATTAAATAAACAAACTTTCATGAACTCATAACAAAACTTTCAATCATCTGTTTATGACATTAATATTTGCTTATTCTGTGTAAATATGTTTTATCTCAATTAAATAATCTACAGATATTATTTTAATATTAAATTAAGAGTAAATATACATAATTAATAATAGATTATACATTCATAATTTAATTTCACTTATTCATAATATAAACAATTTGAACCATAAATAAATGAGTAGTTGATTTTCTATCGTATTTCAAAACGATGTGGTTTGAAAGCCAATAGTTTCCAATAATGTCGAGATACTTGTACAAATCCCCTAAAATGTGTATATTTTACATTTTGTATATTCTCATCCACTGATGGATGCCCTCTTGAAAATTCTCTCGTTTTTAACATGGGAAATCCTCACTTCAGCTAGTCCATGACTCATTTATTTATGGTCTAAACTGTATGTGAGTTTACTTCACTGTTAACTCATAAATCAATTTGCACGTTTTATCACATTTTTATCACATACAGTATTTGAATGCTTTGGCGGGACTGGCTACTTTGAATGACATCATGCTTATCAAAACTCGACATCGCTTTTATTCACTCAATCGCTCACTCACTTCTTTTGATATTTGATGAGTTGATAAAAAAGATATCAAGAATTATCATAGGATATCCCATTTATCTCATGATTTGTTGCCGGACATAAACACATAATCATGCATCAAATCTCCCCCCCCCAACTCAATAGCTCCCTCTTAAAAAATGTCTGGAGGGGGAGGGGTGAGATTTAATAAAATGCTACGTCTTCCTATACTACAGCAAAACCTGTGAAATTACACATCTCTAGACGTGGAACACCTTCATAAGTGAAGAACACGCCTCAAAGTTCTGTTACCCATTAAGTTTAAGTAAAATGACTGTATTACTTACTTATTTTAGCATGTACATAAACATCGAATGAACATATAACATAACAAGGCACAGGACGTGAACGAGATCACACCATCAAATAGGCAGACACTATGAACCAGGAAAACTGTTCTCCTATTATGTTTACAAATTTCAAGAACAAGAAAACAAGATGGCCACCCAAAAGTTAATCAGCTCTAGTACTTCATATGGTCTATCATCTCTGCGAATTTGGAGAAAATCTGATGAGCAGTTTTCCTTAAACGGCGATGACAAAAAGCAGGACGATCACGACCATGATCTCGACCATGATCACGATCACGACCACGACCACGACCAGTATGACGACTATATCCCACCGATGGTGTGATAAAAATACAAGAAGTAAACCCACATGCTTCCTTATAATTAAATAATGGGTGACATATGGTATTTGAATATTACAGTATTTCAAAAAAAGATGTTTCACTTTCACTGTAAATGTGACATTGTACATTTTGAATGCCGTTTATACTAAACATTTTGGCAAAGTGATCAGTGACAGGCCCGTAGCCAGGATTTGCCAAGGGGGGTTCAGTTTCCCAAAATTTCCAAGGGGGTTCACATCTGACAATTTTGGCCCAAATATGGCTAAAATCACTTGAGAAATGCTCAAAATGGTGAAAAACTGCATGATTTTGAAAGAATTTTTGGCCAGGAGGGGGGGTGGGGTGTTTGCCCGTACCCAGCAAACCCCCCCTCGCTACGGGCCTGAGTGAATATACAATAAAAAGTTAACTCGATATAGGTGATAAAGTGGGTCAAACACAGATCTTCAGATCTCCATTAATGCCTATGGTGACTTTGGTAATTTTCAGCTCAGTGAATACATAATGCTCATCAAGGTTAATGTGTACTAGTATGTCCAACTTTTCCTCGTGACATTTTAACAAGGCATTAACATGCAAAATGTCACCACTTGCCATTTGTACACAGATGCCGACTGCAGAAAGTGGTATATGATTTCCAACTAGATAAAACACTTCAATTTTTGAAACACCAGGCAACTATTAAGAGACCCTAATGAACATAAGTTTCTCTTTGTTGACATACCATTTCCAAGATCCAGATTATTTTTTTATAATCTTTAATATAGATGTCAGGTTAGATCACTCAATAACTTATTTAATAACAACGAAATCCATGACGTCATAGATTTGAAGAATTTCAGCTGGCTCTGATTGCCCAATTGGGAAAGGCAGGAAAAAGCTAATTGACTCCTATTGGATGAGACTTATAATCCTCTTTGGATAACTGATTCCTATTGGTCACTGGAGACATATTCACATCAGCTGAATGGCTCCTATTGGTCAAGTGGAATGTGCTCTTCTTCAGGGGTTGGTTGACGTTCATAATCAGGATTAGTTATTATGTAACCTACGACTAGACCTGTAAAGTAGAAATTATATCACAAATAATATCAAGGACACAAAGAAAGCTAATTTTTTAAGATTCAAATTTTTATCTTAATGCCTTGTTTGTATTTTTCTTGTTTCCATGCGAAATATGACTCGACTTGGTCTCGTTCAAATCCTCCAATGCACATAAGGAGAGGGGAAGGGAGGGGGTCCCAGAGACTTAAACCTAGATGGACTCAAAATGACAATATTTTCCCATCACATTACCCAAGGAGGATTTACTCCCAGCATTCTTTAATCATTTTCTTTTGACTCGGCATGAAACAATTTGGTTATCCTGTTACCATAATGTTCATCTCCGGACCAAGTATTAAGTCTGGAGGTGAACATTAAGGAAATATTAATACCGAATTGGTCCATGCCAGTCAATTCAAGATAAGGAAGGAATCTTGGGTACCGGCCTTCCTTGTACAATACCAAATGTAAGACATATCAGTACCTAGTGCCACAAGGACCATTCCCAATATGTTAATAATGACACCCTCAGCAGGTAGTGCACTATAAGGGACACCTTTGTAGCTTGGAGAACCCCTGAAATGAGAAATAACACATTATCAAATATGATACAATTAATGTAATTTAGCATTATTAAACATATTATAATTTTACATACTTGAATATTATAAATTTGTCATATTTATAATTATATACATTGAATACCTAAACAATGAAATTACACACATTGAATACTTACACACAGAAATTACATACATTGAATACTTACACACTGAAATTACACACATTGAATACATACACACTGAAATTACACACATTGAATACTTACACACTGAAATTACGTAAATTGAATACTTACACACTGAAATTACACACTGAATACTTACACACTGAAATTACACACACTGAAATTACAAACGTTGAATACTTACACACTGAAATTACACACATTGGATGCTTACACACTGAAATTACACACATTGGATACTTACACACTGAAATTACACACATTGAATACTTACACACTGAAATTACACACATTGAATACTTACACATTGAAATTACACACATTGAATACTTACACACTGAAAAATGCTTTTTCTGTTATGCCCATTAGTGATGTAGCTATGGCCATAACAAATATTGCAAGGCCAAAATAGACATGTATCGGCTTGTAGATTGTTCTCATGCTTAGCGCAACTTTGGGCCACAGGAAACTAACGAATCCAAACACCCACTACAAAAAGATTATCAAATGTAAATTAGATAATAGTTTTCAAAAACAGATTTTCAAATCATTTATATATTACATTTTTAAATATAGATGGCGATCACAAACCTATTACAAATATAAATATTTTGTCTACTGAATTCATTACTTCAAGGTCTGTCAAATATAAATAATATCTAAATAGGATGAATTAGAATCTATAAATATATCAGTACTATATATAACACTAACATTTTACATACTTCTAAAAAGAAATTTTGTAATTTTTTAACTTGTCACATATAAAAATGCAATTTCATTAACAAGAAATATTGTTTCAAATATCTCAACTTCATTAACTTCAGAGTATAATGGTTTATTTTCAACGTTTCGCAAGTCATCCAACTAGCTTTATCAAGACTACATTCAAAATGGAAGTACACAGTTATATTATTTATGACGTAGTAAATGAACAGTTCAAGTTACTCAATAAGTTGAGTTATTTGAAATATATTACCAGAGTGATGAATCTACACAGGAATAAAATATTGTATTATCCTGAAATAATGTTGATGTTGGGGAGGGGGTTGTTAGGGGATTGGCCAAACAAGGGTTTAGTACAAGAATATCTAGAGCATTATTGCATTATTCCATGCTTTGAGTAATAATATCAAATGTCATGCACATTATTTGTTTACAATTAATAATCACAATTCAAACAGTCATTAAATACACTAATATAATGAGGTGGCTGATTGCAGTCATATATCTACAGGAAAATGTTAACAGAATATCCAAATAGGGTTACCACAACATTTTCAAATCAAGATTCCCTAATTCAAGGATGATATATCTACAGGAAAATGTTAATAGATTATCCCAATAGTCATTAGGGTTACCACAACATTTTCAAATCAAGATTCCCTGATTCAAGGATGATATATCTACAGGAAAATGTTAATAGATTATCCCAATAGTCATTAGGGTTACCACAACATTTTCAAATCAAGATTCCCTAATTCAAGGATGATATATCTACAGGAAAATGTTACCAGATTATCCCAATAGTCATTAGGGTTACCACAACATTTTCAAATCAAGATTCCCTGATTCAAGGATGATATATCTACAGGAAAATGTTAACATATTATCCCAATAGTCATTAGGGTTACCACAACATTTTCAAATCAAGATTCCCTGATTCAAGGATGATATATCTACAGGAAAATGTTAATAGATTATCCCAATACTCATTAGGGTTACCACACCATTTTCAAATCAAGATTCCCTGATTCAAGGATGATATATCTACAGGAAAATGTTAATAGATTATCCCAATAGTCATTAGGGTTACCACAACATTTTCAAATCAAGATTCCCTAATTCAAGGATGATATATCTACAGGAAAATGTTAATAGATTATCCCAATAGTCATTAGGGTTACCACAACATTTTCAAATCAAGATTCCCTGATTCAAGGATGATATATCTACAGGAAAATGTTAATAGATTATCCCAATACTCATTAGGGTTACCACAACATTTTCAAATCAAGATTCCCTAATTCAAGGATGATATATCTACAGGAAAATGTTAACAGATTATCCCAATAGTCATTAGGGTTACCACAACATTTTCAAATCAAGATTCCCTAATTCAAGGATGATATATCTACAGGAAAATGTTAATAGATTATCCCAATACTCATTAGGGTTACCACAACATTTTCAAATCAAGATTCCCTAATTCAAGGATGATATATCTACAGGAAAATGTTAATAGATTATCCCAATACTCATTAGGGTTACCACAACATTTTCAAATCAAGATTCCCTAATTCAAGGATGATATATCTACAGGAAAATGTTAACAGATTATCCAAATAGTCATTAGGGTTACCACAACATTTTCAAATCAAGATTCCCTGATTCAAGGATGATATATCTACAGGAAAATGTTAATAGATTATCCCAATACTCATTAGGGTTACCACAACATTTTCAAATCAAGATTCCCTGATTCAAGGATGATATATCTACAGGAAAATGTTAACAGATTATCCAAATAGTCATTAGGGTTACCACAACATTTTCAAATCAAGATTCCCTGATTCAAGGATGATATATCTACAGGAAAATGTTAATAGATTATCCCAATACTCATTAGGGTTACCACAACATTTTCAAATCAAGATTCCCTAATTCAAGAATGATATTCAAATCAATTCAATTTTTATTCCTTGAAAGTATAGCTATACAAAGTACATATAATAAGGTTAACAGGTGACATCATTTCTCAAAGACGATATTCACACGTCATCAAATCCAAGTATAACCAAGAGTCCGTATTCATGAGACGGAGTAATATTGTCGTACAGTCATATCACCTCAGGGAACCTAATCAGCTTTATGTTTGCAGATCCTTGAAGGATTTACAGTCTAAAGCAGAACATCAAGAAAGATCTCAACTTGGATGGATAGCACATGCATTCATTACTTAATAGACTATAACTACATCTAGGCGATGTGCACTAAACTGTATGCAAAATATCCATGGGAACCAACAATTTACTCAGTCCAATGCACAAATATAAAAATGTTAATACTCAACTCATAATAACAAGCAAATCCATCTACCATCCATATATGGACATATTACCATATATGGATGCATTTTTATATGAAATATCCATCAATTGTAATTATCCCTCAAAACACTATTACTTCTTTAATACTGGACACCTTATTGTGCACAAAAATATTAAGGGGAGGCATCAAAAGTTCGATGTCGGATAGAAATAAATCTAGTTAGGGGGGAGGGGGTTCAAACCCATTTCAGTTTGCTATCCGACAAATTTCAACATTTCAAATTTTTGACAATTTCGACTGAGAATGCCTTTGAATGGTTTAAAAATAAAGATTTTACCTGATGTTTTCTTCGTCAAGATCATTCCAATGGATTCTATTCTATCAATAGTTGTTAAAAGCCGCAAATTACGATAGGAATTAACAAAAAAACTAGATCGTGTTTAGCAATAATTTTTCAAATTCTCAAACCGGAAGTCAGCGATCAACTTTCATGGTATTTAGTTTTTGGGGGAGGGGGGGGGGCAGAGTCAAAACTAGATTTATTTAGTTTCCGATCCGACATCGAACTTTTGATGCCTCCCCTAATATATGATGTCTTTGATAATCACTGCCATCATGTATACATGTAGATTATTCTAGTTATGGAACAGTATGGGTTTTGTAAATTACCATGGGGGTTGCGCTATGTACTGTACACAGTAAATTGAATTTACATATCACTATGGTGATGATCATATTCTTGTCTCATAAAACCTCAGTTCTTTTGAGATTCATTTCCTTCTGGGAATCTTCACCTTGATATAAAATTCGTTAGGAAAATTCTATATCAAAGTGAAAAAGGATTTTTGAATTGTTACAGAGTAACATGAATTAGAGTTGTGCATCATAATAATAGTCATGCCTCATGAAAATAGTCCTGCATCATAAAAATAGTCCAGCATCATGTTAATGCAAACATGATCATATATCTGAGTAGCAATAGTGAAATACTTTGAAAATGACAACAAATTACAAAAAAAAACAGTTCGTAAAGTGTTTTTTGAAAGGCCTAATGAATTTATCTAATGACTTTCCAAAGGCAAAAAGGGTCAATTGTGGTCCTTCTATTTCTCTTTCTACCTCTCATTGGTACCTCTTACACAACTGAACTAAATTGAATTGTTATATTGTAATATTTCTGTAAATGTCTTCAGGTTTCTTGTATATAAGTTAAGTTTAATAAATTTCAATTAAAACAAAAAAATGATTTGTTACGAAGCATTTTTACAAAAAGGTTTATAATCAAGGATTCTGTGCCTGTGTGACACTCAAAAATTCTTCCTTACAAAGATTTTTGTCAATATGCTTCGTCACGAAGCAATTATAAAACCTGCAGTGTAACTTTTACCATTGGCTCTGTTATCTTTGTCGAGCCTTGATGACCTTTCTTTCTCTCTTTGAAAACACATCTTTACAATTAATCATAGTGTCTCATTGAACAGAGATGTATGAGAATTCACACTTAATTGGACGCAATATCAGGTGGCATTTCTCATTCTTGACTCAGGAAGACATGGATATAAGAGACACGGCAATTTCTATATTACTGTTCTATCGCTGATGCGACTTTGTTAACATAAGATAACAAATGTGGGAAATAACCTATACCACAAAAATATATTCTAAACTATACCATACTAACGCAGCAAATATTCATTTTACCATACTAATGTGTCCTTAATTATACCATACTAACACAAATATGTCCTAAATTATACCATACTAATACAAACATGGCTTGATCACTAAAAATGACATACTATTTTCTTAAATACAATTCATAATAAATCAAATACATAGGTGAGGGAGAAATGGGGGAAAGATGAATAATGATGTTTGGATTTCAGGTTCTTTTAAAATCATGCAATCATGCGGACAATAAACATTCAAGCTATCTACTGAAAACAACAAACACTAATGATAATACAGTACAACAAGGGGGCAAACGCCCGATTTCCCGAATACCTGAAGACCAAACAAGATAACGGTGGTGAGACCGAGCCAGGAGTGAAGACTATACATATTGGGGATTGGTTTTTCAGCTAGGTTGTGAGAATCAAAAACTGCCTTGAGACCAACCGCCGCGAAGAGCAGCGCAAACGCCTGAACCACCCCGTGGAGTATTTTCACATACATTTTACGCTCATTGCGGAATACTCTGTAGACTAGGATGGCTGCAAAATACAATGAAATACACAAAATTGAAAAAGGAATATACACTATTAACTTCAGGGACACTAATGGGACTGGCGACTGGGTACTTTAGGTGTGCCCCAATTAATGAAAATAAAATTGGTTGATGAAGAACTCCGTAATGTGAATTTAATCCCATCTTGTACTTATTGAATAAAAGAATAGTTTAAGTGTATGTTAGCTAGCCTATAGTTTCAATACAGATACATGCATATATATGAATACTTAAGCTATATCGGGCGTAGAAAGGCATGAAACAGGTTGAGTAACCACATAACAAAAATTTTAGATAGAAAATGTATTTAGATTTTCAATTAACAAAATCAATTCCAAACGTAGTAATATGCATCCTTCAGCCTAAATAAAAGGGGCGTGAGTTGTTCGTAGAATGAATTCTGGAATTTTTTCATGCATTTCGCTTATCTTTTTCATCTTAAAAACAGGAATACACTTTAAAATGCTTTATTGACTGTAAGATTGCACCATATAATCCAGAAAAGTATTTCTCATTTTCAAGGATTATCTATGGATTAACACCCAGGTATTTTTATTTTTCTTCAGAGGGGTGAAAATCATTATTACTATCGCTTTTGAAAATATATAAATGCTGTTTTAAATAGGTTTCATGTATGCCAAAAATTTCTCAAATTGTGTAAACTGCACCAATTCTTTAATCCCTAGAATATTCTCCTAGAGGAATTTCCCATGTTAATCCAATAGTGGGGTTCCAAGCAGATTTTGAGATAACAGGAAGGTCAATCTTTAATATACACCTTATTGGGTTGCGATATAAATGAAAGCAACCCAATAAGGTGTATATTAAAGATTAACCTTAATTTTACATCATGGCTATGCCTACACCCTTAGCTATAAAGATATTTATCAAGATGTAAAAAGTTAAAAAAATGTATAGATTATTTTACTTGGATACTCAGGTTTTGTTATACTGTAATTTAATTTCGCTGTGTTCGCGAATGTAGTAAAATCGCAAACATTTATCGTCGCAAAATTTGTCTTCTTTTAAATCCCCGGGGATTTGACCCGGGACTTTTGATATGTTTCGTTCGGTGTTAATCATTTCTCCAGTGTTGTTGGGCGATAATTAACATGGGGTATTGTTCAAATTTATATCAACAATTGTTGTACTTGCTAAGCTCATGCATTTGTAAAAAGGCATGTAACTATATTAATATTATCAAGAGCTGGAGGAAAAAATTCAACTTGAGTAATCCGCGAGATGTCATCAACTCAAATCCGAGAAATTAAATAGCCGCGAAATTGCAATTTTGAAAAATCGCGAAATTTTAAAGCGTCAAAATTTACCAGGAGTACAGTATCTATGGGAATGATAGAAATTCAACTGTAGTGAAAAAACATAATTATTTTTCCTTTTTTCTGTCTTGTTTTTACCCCCTCCGCAAATGTTTATAAAAAAGCAGCACTTCAAAAATAATTTATTGTTTTCTGCCCTTATTAATAATTCAAAATAATTATGCATTTTTCAACACTATGGAACACATTCTCTAATTGTTATTTAAAATTTGCATGATCACCCCACCACCTCTTGAAGTGCTCTCGTGGAAAGGAGTATTAGAACAGTATAAACTACAACTACAGTGTATTAGACAGTAAACCTGTCTAATTTGAACACCACCCAGACCACCTAAAAGTGTTCAGATTGGCAGGTGTTTAATTTCAAGATTTTTTAACATGTTAGACTATGGCAGATTCAAAATGGAACAAAGAAAGGCATTCAGATCGTGCAGTTCCTATATATATAGGTTTTACTTATATACACCCCCAAAATGCAATCTGATTTTCGACGCCATTTCGGTGCCAAATTTCGGTGACGTCTCGGCACCAAATGGACTGACTAGTCCAGTGGCAAATTTTGGAGTCAAAAAGTTTTGGTGCCGGAGAATGGTGTCGAAACGGTGCCGGAACAGCGCCGAATTTTTTTGATGCCGAAACGGCACCGAATTATATTGGCTGTGTAAGTGGGACTAAGCATCCAAGGATCAACATATCTGCAAAACCGTTCTTCACATTTCCATTTCACATTAGCCATTTACAAGCAAACTTTCAAGTGCATACAAACTGTTAATGCTTTCAGGCCAAGAATATATTAGATCAACATCATGATTTTGTGTTTAAATTTTGTCCAACATTTTTTGCTATTTCTGTAACAGATTTTTTCGATTGAATTAAAATACCATAAATTCAAGTTTATTTTTGGATCAAAATTGTATTCATAAGAAGAATCCATAGTAAAATAAACTCACAAAATCTAAATCATATTATACTTGAACCCAAAATCATAATTCAACAAGCATATTTTTGGCCTTGATTTCTTGGTTAATGCTTATCTACATACACTCCCCCTCATAGGTTTGGCAACTGAAAGTTCATTAGATAGTGTATCAAAGCATGGCGATGCTTGAATGTTTTTCCCTAAATTACAGGATTACAATATATAGTTTGAAAATTTATGGCAAAGTAGACGTAAATTCTGACGTTTTTAACTTTAAAGTTTTATAAGTGATCTAAAAGGCGGCTTCCAGTTGCTAAACTTATGGAGGGGAGTGTAGGACCACCACCTGGAAAATAGACTTAATTCCGCAGTTACCTGGAGACAAAATAATATCACTGTAGTCAGTCCCAGCCAGCTGTGTAGCGAATATAGATTTGGTATAGGGGCGGGTACCGTGCCCTTTTTATGTAAATTATGAGAATCGAATACTGCTTTTAGTCCAACCCCAGCAAACGCCATGACGAGAACATGTATACAAGCATGGAGGATTTTTACAAAGGTTTTACGCTCGGTTCTGAAGACTCTATAAACCATTATAGCTGAAATAGAGTATCACATGTCACAACACTAAACACAGCAAATTTAACTAATAACTAATAATATCTATAATACAAAACATACATGTATACAGTCTACATATAAACAGTAAAACCTGTCTAATTCAAACACTACTGGTGTTAAGATTGGCTGGTATTTACACCCAGTTGAACATGTATTAAGTTCCCTTGCACCCAGTTGAACATGTATTTTCACCCAATAGACTAGACACGAGTAGACATAATCTTGATTTACAATAATTGATTTACATTAAATATTCAAAATTCAGTCAAAGTGATATCATATTTGAAATTTACATGTAAAAGGGTTTAGAAAATTGTTTATCATCTTTGAAATTTTTTTTTGAAAGTTTGACTTCTCGTTCGGGTTGATTCCCCATAGACCCAATGTTACAAATCACAAAAAGTGAAATATCTTTTCTTGTATTGGACAGATAACATTTTCTTTTACTGGACATATTTTTATTCAATGCGATAAGGGTTATATGAAAATTGAACCATGCAAATAGATGTAATTTAAGTTGAAGGGAACTTTCTACTATACCTGCCATGCTAATTGACCCGAACGAGCCACCTGGTGGTGAAACTGGTAACTACCTACTCGCATCTGCGTTATTGAGATTATAAAGTTCCCTTGCACCCAGTTGAACATCTATTTACACCCAGTTGAGATTATAAAGTTCCCTTGCACCCAGTTGAACATCTATTTACACCCAATTGAGATTACAAATCCCCTTGCACCCAGTTGAACATCTATTTTCACACAATTTGAGAATCATTTTCCTTGCACCCAGTTGAAAGTTTATTTAAATCCAGTCGAGATTACAATTACTTCCTTGCACCAAGTTGAAAGTCTCTATAAACTCAGTTGGGACTTTGGAAAATCAAAAAATTAGGATTTGGGAGTACACATATATACTTGACAGACACTCATTTGAGTTTGGGTCATTGTGCTTTAAGAAATAAACAAAGACAATCTGAAAAACATGTAAAAATTAATTTCTTTAATTATTCAATGATGCCAAAAAAGATCTAAGATTAAAGACAGGTCAGTATTTTTATATACTCAAGTGAAAGACAAATCAACATTTTAAAAGTTCTTAAGATGAGGGGAGGGGGGTTAAACCATAATGAAATAAGCTTCGACTGTTGATAATTGGACAACATCCCCTATTCAAGAATGATTTCAATAGGTAACACTTTATAAAAGCTAATATCAAACTGATTGCTTATTATCTTTATTTAAATATCACTTGACAAGTTAATTTCCTGAATTAATATTAAATCGGGAAATTACACAAAATGATTACTCAAACCAATAAAGATACTAAAATGAGTCTCCACAACAATTTATTACAAAATCAATACCACTTTCTTGCGCCTATTCCTCACTCTGTAAATTGCCTAATTTTACTTTAAAAATAAAATGATGAATAAGATAAAATAATTAAGCTGAAACTTCCAAACTTGCAGGCCCATAGCTAGGACTTGACAAGGGGGGTTCACTTTTTTAAAATTCCAGGGGGGCTCACCTTTGACTACTTTGGCCCAAAAAGGGTTAAAATCGCTTGAAAAGTGTTCAGAATGGTGAAAAACTGCATTATTTAGAAATAATTTTGGGCAATGTGGGGGGGTCCTTCAAACAGGCCTGATTTCCTTTATCTAATAAAGTCATTACAGTTTATTTGTTTATACAGCGTATCATAATTTGACAAAATTTTAATGAAAATGTCATGTTCCTTTGCATCAGAGATTCTACAAATTTGTAGTTACTGTGAACCCTAACAGACAGCAGTATACATGTCAAATTATCAACATACATATTTGTGTTTCTTTACTCCAGAATTTAGAGATATCAAAAAATTGAAAATCAAAAAAATAAATAAACATGTATCAGCTTTTTTAAAACTTACCATCACCATATAGAAAGACTAGACCAATAATCATGAACAATGGGTGGTAGTTGAACTCCCGACCTGGATCTTCCTGCCAGGCAAAGCCCCCTCTATAGGAGCCCATCCATACCGCTACGAGGATAACAGATGTTAGACCAAGAACCTGTGCGATGAGGACCCAGCCAGTGAAGAGACGGAGATTTGGCTGACTATCCATATTGCACCTTAGCCTAGAAATATAAATAAAATAAATTTAATATGAACGTGTGGTCATTTCATGCCTTCTTCCCCCAGAAGAACCAAATAAACATTATGAATTGGAACATAAAAAGTTCAACAAAACATACATGGCAATTGCCAAGGGGTTGCTATTTGTGTCAATGCAACCCCCTTGAGTCTCTTCGCTAAATCTTTAAAATCCACTCAACATTATTGACTAATGATGTACCCTTTTTATTTTTGCACCAAAAAATTGTCCATAAGGGCACAAACTTCATATTTGCACAAAAATAAAACAGTTTTTTGCCTCATTGATAGAAAAATTTGCCTCATTGCGCCCTCCTGTCAAATCCGAGCTATAAAAGTAAAATACCTGTACTCAGTACTAAAGAATATCCTTGAACATAATGTAATATAAAATCATTGATCACAATATGTGACAAAAACATCTCTCTAAAAGCTAAAAGCTCCTTACTCTTAGAAGATATTATAGCAAGACCGCCTACGCTTGAGCTAATGTTATGTCACATTCAATTAAATACCCCGACAAATGTATTCAACTGTTATACGACAGGAAACTAGCAGCAATTTATCAGGTTCTTCCCTTTATAGTGCCATATAAGAATCAAGATTACAGTTATTAGGAGCGTTATTGATTTGCTTTTGTGAGTCTACGTGCTTTTGTCAACGATGCAGTATCTTATTCTACTTGTTCTGTTCATTTAGGTTTATACTCCAAAGTAAAATTAAGACCAGCAGATCATGAACTATTGCAGTTTCATTAAATAGACGAGAAAAGTCCTTTCGTTTCTTCTCTCATGTTTTATTGTCTGGAGAGGACAAAATTAATGCTCTCACCTCTTGTAATTCCCCTTATTTTCTATTTCTAATAAACGGTGGGGAAATGGAAAAGGTGATGTATTTGAGGAATCATTTAACACAGTGTTCTCCCTAATTTTTCAAAAGTGAGTGGTGAAAAAGTGAATAAAAATTGATGGGTGGTGGCAAAATTATTAGGGTGGTGATAAGTTTACAAAAACGTGCTTAAAAAAAATCGGCCCCGCTTCGCGGCGTTACTTAATCACAATCATTTGCATCAACAGCCAATTGTTGTAAATATGCTAAACATTTGTTTTGATGTTATGTAATTACATAACATCAAAACAAATGAAATTTAGCACTGTATAATCATCTACTTTAATGACAATAGGCCATGTTGCAATGTAAATGCTCAGAGGTTTGTTTTAATTCAATGTTCAATTTAATATTTATTTCCATAATATAATATAAAGTTCAATATACAAAATAATTTTCAGTATGTGGCCACATATTTCTTCAATATAATTCAACTATAATTATTGAGTCCGAAATTCCCGGGAAAATGTGCACACATGTTCATTTTCGTTCAGTGTACTCTTCAAAATCGGAGGCTGTGAGTCCTGACCTCGAAAAAAGGTTGCGAGTAAATCTCAGGCACGACATGGAAATCTGAAATTATAGAGGGCGCATTTTCATTTTACACACGGCGAAATGAAACAAAGATTTCCCGGGAAATTTTGGACAATACTAGTATATTAATAGTCTATTGTACAACCACATTTGACCAGCACGATCACAAATCACACAGGGACCAATTAATATGATCTAAAACAATCAACCACCTACTGACCGAGCTTAGTAAAGAAAAAATATCAAGGATCAAGGTAAATCACTAATGATCAGGAACAATCACCTAAACCAGGGACAATCACCTTAGATTAGAACAATTGAGTACAATCACAGTATCAAAACAAAATATTAAGAATCAAAACCAAACAATTGCCCTGAAGATTCAAGAAAAATTTAGTGTATTAAAAACAATCACTTAAGATTAAGAACAATCACCTGTAAAATTGTTTAGGAGCGACCCAATCCCTAAGGATCAAGACAGATACCAAAGATCAAGATCATGAGGATATTTCTAAGGATCAAAAACATTATCACTTAGATCAATAACAATCACCTAGGATCAAGATTAATCACTTAGAATTAAGAACACCAAGGGCTCAGAAGAAATTTTTGGATCGGGAAAAATCACTAAGTGTGCTGTTAATGGGTTCAATAATCATATTTAGACAGACTTCCGGTACAAGTGCACTTGGATTTGCGCCCTCTATAATTTCAGATTTCCATGTCGTGCCTGAGATTTACTCGCGACCCTCGAAAAAACATGTTTCATTTCTGTGCAAATCAAACTGTTTTTTATCAAAATAGACGGTAAATTGAAGATTCTTTAGTGCAAGAAAGGTAAGTACAGACATTTCTTTATCTACATAGAGCATTTTGTATCGTTTTCAAGCAAAACGGGCTGAGATTTTGATGTGATTAAAACTTTGATTTTTTTCAATTTCTATTTTCACTTTGGGAAATTTTTCTGTCAAAGTCTAATGCGTGGCGCTGTTATAGATGTGTGGCGCGCAATAAATCAGCGTGGCGCAGCCACAATGTGCGTGGCACGAGCGCCACGCATTTTTCAGTCAGGGAGAACACAGTAACAGCATCATCAAATTTTAAAATAAAGATACTTGGCTATTGGAGGCTACCATATTGAATTTTATTACTCGAGTCTCTAGCTTACAGCTAGACGTAACTTCATTGATTCCGTATGTACTGTGCTACAAGCACCTACACGCACCTAGAACTCATTTTTAATAAATTTTATAAATATTTTTAAGAATATTGAGGACAGGGTGCATGTTGGGAAATTTTCTGCATTCCTCAATTGAGTCACATGTTATTTTTCAAACATGAATAACTCCTTCCCCACATTGTCTACATCTTCCAAGTTTGCACAAAGAGTGCACTTCTGTGCCTAGAAAAGCCTTGTGAGAAGGTTTGTTTTGTAAAATGTATAAAAAATGAGAAAATTCAGTGAAAAAGATTTCTGAAAATTTTCTGATTTTTTTCACTGAATTTTCTTGTTTTTTATACACTTTATCAAAACATTCTTCTCACAAGTCTTTTCTAGGCACAGAAGTGCACTCTTTGTGCAAAACTGGAAGATATAGACAATGAAGGGAAGGAGTGATTCTTGTTTGAAAAATAACATGTGACTCAATTGAGGAATGCAGAAAATTTCCCATCATGCACCCTGACCTTAATCATATTTAGGATGAAGCGTTGCTTGTCTGGATTTAGATATTTCAAAATTTCATTTCGCAGTTTGAAACATGTTGAAATTTTCTCGCTGTAGCTAAAAATGGCTTCCGGTTCTGGACGTGAATAAAATTTGAAATTATTCTCGCTTAAAGATATCAAATATAACAATAGATTCAGACGGGGATGTGAGCTGTTGTTCTTCAAATCTATACATAAAGGTATATTTCATATTATTATGCCATATTTACTGTGCGTGTGACACAATGATTTACAATATTTATAATACTAAGGCAGCTCAATCTTCCTCCTCAAAGCCGGAATATAGAGAAGGCTTTGGACCGAAGTAAGAATTTTACTGTCCGAAATGACCATTACAACAACCCTAACATGCATTAAGATTGCTGGGATATAAGAGAAAATAAATTAAATCATTCATTATAACAGTGCTTTAAATGATTTGAAATTTCTGAAATACTCATGATATACCCTTTCACAATAATTCAATCTTTAGATGCATATGTTGTATTGAGCATGATGTCTCACATTTTCCCTTATACTTGTAGTACTGCTGAACTTGAGCATTTTAAATGAACAAATGATTATTTTATATTTTCATTTTAATCATTTTAACGATTAAAACAGTGAGACAAATTTTCATTGGTCCATTGATAAACACCAAAGTCTCCCAACCTTAAATCCAAGTTCTTGTGTATTGTCGGGACAATAAAGTTTATTCTCATGTCAACTTACAACCTTCAAAATTGATGCAAGTCAACAAATATAAAAGTCAACCCACAAGAACTTGCTACTTGTTTCATATCCCTGAGTCATTGGGTCTTAGCTTCCAGGAATTGAGTCTGTGACGTCACAGTTATACATTTTATGATGATCATCATTTCAAAATATATTCGTGAAAATGCTCATAATAAATTTGACCCAAGATTTCGCAAATTTTCACGATACATTACCTCCTGAAATGAGGTTGTTATTATTATCATCATGGCAATAGATATGTTGATTAGCTTTGAGTTCTTCTGTATACTATCTTCGTTTAATCAAAAATGATCACAGGATGAAAAAGAGGGTCTTCTTTATACAAAGATAGGGTTTAATCTTTGAATTTGGGGAATTTTTCTCCTCTTCTACACTGCGTGTAGTCTACTACTTTTTTCATGGCATGACTGCATCACTAGAATTTGAAAAATTAGCATGGGCTTCCAACTAGAACTAGCTAACGATTGGGAGTCTTGGTTAGTACGCAAATTTAAATGGAACCCTTTCACCTTTGTTTAGTCTTTGATGAAGCATTAGGGGAGGCATCAAAAGTCCGATGTCGGATAGAAAACTAAATAAATCTAGTTAGGAGGGGAGGGGGTTCAAACAGATTGCTATCCGACAAATTTCAACATTTCATAGTTCTGACTAGGGATACTAGCGGTTACCGTCCGTTGTATTCCATGGAAATAACCATGGAAAACCATGAACTTTTCCATGGTAATTACCTATATTTCATGGAGAAAAAGCATGGAATTTTTCATGGTATTTACCATGAAATACTGGTTTTCCTCGATTTTTTGTCATGACATATCTTGATCATTGGTCTACTTTCTATAATATCGACCTACTAACCATTTTAAACTATGTCTTATTATAAAAACTGAAAGTTGCTAAACCATTACAAGTGTTTGATAATGTCTAAATATTACTGTATCAGGTCTGTACAGTTTTGTTGAACAGTTTTATATAGTTTTGTTGAATGATCTAGATGTCCTTGGCTGCTACAATGAAACCATAGGCTTTCAATTTCTAGTTGAAACCCCATGAATGAAACATATGCCAAAATAATTCATGTAATATATATGTATCTAGTGCATTATATTTGTATCAATATATGATGGAACACTAATTATTACAGAATTAAACAGCATCATCATGCTTGTTAACATGAGATACCATCTATGAGAAGGAAATCCCATGTCTGATTGCAATGTCTGCTCGCTCCAATAACATCCTTTATTACATAAAGCTTTGAACTTTTCACCAAATACATTTTCTTTTGTTGATATTTTCAAATCAGAGATCCTATTATTATACAAGATTAACTTGCCTATAATAACATTTCAGTCAATGCTAATGTAGTTTAAAACAAAAAACTAAACAAAAATCTGTCTCAATTCTAAGATATTTTAGGCAAAGTTCATGTCTATTTTTTAAAAATCCTAAAAATTGGCAACAGTAGTGTCAGTTTCAGTGTTTTACTGGACAATTTACCAGAAAACCAGGTTTCACTAGCATGGAGTTTGATTGCATTTTGTAGATAGCATGAAGTTGATTGCAATCAACTCCATGCATGTCTGGTAAAATATACGGTGAAACCTGCTTTTCTGGTAATCTGTCCAATGAAACCTGAATACTTAAACATGAACTACTGTACACAATTTTTAGGATTTTTAGTAAATAAACATAATATTAGCCCAAAATATTTATAAATTGAGACAATATTTTTGTTACAGTTTGCTCGCTACATCCGAAGCTTGAAATATTTTTTGCCATGAAAGGCAAGTTAAAAGAAGTACAGACCATGGAACTTGATTACAGTCAAATCATAAATGTTTGGGAGTACTTTGAATTTAAAAAATAAGCAATCAAATGACCAAATTGAAACAGTTTATGTAAAAATAGAAACATTTATATTTATCCCAACTTTTGTATATTTTAGTTTGTTTTGTAGTTTAGCTGTTATATCTGTGTCCTCTTATATTTTGATACTTCTCTGCCATGTGATTTTCTGAAAAATTAACATGGCTGAAACTTCCTAAATTACAAAAGGCCACAGCTTTGCTACACATTATACATTACTATCTGAAATATACAAAAGTTAGGATAAATATAAATGTTTCTATTTTTAAACTGTTTCAATTTGGTCATTTGATTGCTTATTTTTTAAATTCAAAGTTCTCCCAAACTTTTATGATTTGACTATACATTCTCAAGAAAGCATAGTCTTGCCATGGACATTTTGTAGGTATGGAGCATGAACTTGTATTCCAAGTTTTCTTTATATATATTTGATCAGAAATTAAGGTAGCGCTTAAGTTAATCAAAAGTACAAAAATGGCAGCCATATTTTTGGGATAAAGTCACAAGATTATTTGTATCTGTTTTCCTTATATGTGAATACATTTCCTGACTAAAGAGACATGTCAAAGAAAACTTCACATTTAAACACATTTTTCATAACTATGAATTGGGGGTGCATGGGTCCCCAAAGCTAACTTTTTATAAATATTTTATGTCCATCATTTTGTTTGCTGGAACTACTTCTAGACTTCCTGATTAATCCTCATACAAGTTTTGTGACTTCACCAAGTGGCATGGATTATCACTATAGTATATTTTATCTATAACAGTATAATTATCATGATAGATACATGATTGAGGCTTTATAAATGATAAACAATGGATACATTAGTAAGGATTACTTTGGACGAGAAAATAGTCCAAGCAAACAAAATGGTGGACATGAAATATTTAGAATTCACAGTGGTTTGAGCTTCATTACACTAATGCAACAAGCACACATTTTCATGCTCCTTTGATGTTCCTTGGTAAGGTAAGATGATTTGTGGAAATTTTGGAGTCCTACAAATGTGTCTCCATTGCAATCCTACTCCTTGAAAGTTATCCTCACTTCACTGTCTCCATGCTAGCTTTAGGGACCCATGCACCTCCAATTCACAGTTATAAAGAATGCGTTTAAATGTGAAGTTTTCTTTGACATGTCTCTTTAGTCAGGAAATGCATTCACATATAAGGAAAACAGATACACAAAATCTTGTGACTTCATCAGAAAAATATGGCTGCTATTTTTTGTACTTTTGATTTACTTTAGCCCTACCTTAAAGAAAAAATTGACATATTTTAGCTACTTTGTATCCCATTATATAATTAAAAAATAAAATGGTTGATGGGTTGATATTATAATGCAGATACCTGATCAAGTTATGCCATGACCAAAAATCATGGAGAACCACTATTTCATGGTAAATACCATGGACAATTCCATTGGTATTTTCAATGGAATTCTGGTGAATACCATGGAAAAGTTCATTTGTTATTTCCATCGAATACTAGTAATTTTCATGGAAATCCATGGAAAGCATGTTTTTTTTCTCAAGAGTATGGAGCAGAATAATTTTCTGAAACAGGTAGCTTTGCAATGGTAGCTCAGTCCAGGTTCATTTATCGCAAAATCTGTGTGGTTGCGGTGTTGTAATTGCCATAGGAGACAGGTTACCTGAAAAGGAAGATAGATATCATTATCAAGGACTGAAACTGAGGCAAGTCTACCCTGGCTGAAATCAGCTCTGAAATAACAATTACTGCATGTCAAGCCGTCATTCAATGCTGATTTTGTAGAAAACAGATCTGTCCATCCTTCTACATGTGAGTTTTTCCCATAAAGATGCTTGATTAAGTAGAAATTCATCAAATTATACCCCTAGAATATCAAAGTTCAACTGTACATCAATCGCGTGAGGAAAAAAAACAAATCCATTCTTCACCTTCTGTTCACAAACCCTTCTTCTTCTTCTTGGAAAAGTTGTCCCTCATTTGACTAACAGCAAATGTGTATGTTTATGCAGCAATATATGTTAGTTTAGAAAATGATTAATTACTATCTTACCTGTACTTCACAGAAACATCCTAAGTATGAAAATATTTCACTAAAAATACATGCTTCCATTTTGTCACATGTTCATAATAATTTACATATTGACCATGTGATGTTGACAGGGAGTGTAAACGCACCTAGCGTACAGGAAATATGTTATGATATTTATTAAGAAATTAGGTATGGTAATCATTATTACTTATTGTATTAAGCCCCCAACCCACTTCACAAAGTTCATGAAGTACCAAGGAAAGACCAAATATTAAATAAATTAGAAAAATTTGAATTTCCAAAAAAATCAAGTGGGCGATAAAAGAGTCTCTGAAACATTAAATTTTTCCTTCATTAACTTATTACATACATTATTTTTAGATAATATTAGTTTGATATGGTGTGGAAAGCACACAATGATAGATAATTATCGGGAGTGCATTGAAAATTACAAAATATGTCACTTTTGCCATGTTTCAGAGGCTCTATTATCGCCCACTTGATTTTTTTGGAAATTCAAATTTTTCTAATTTATTTAATATTTGGTCTTTCCTTGGTACTTCATGAACTTTGTGAAGTGGGTTGGGGGCTTAATACAATAAGTAATAATGATTACCATACCTAATTTCTTAATAAATATCATAACATATTTCCTGTACGCTAGGTGCGTTTACACTCCCTGTCAACATCACATGGTCAATATGTAAATTATTGTGAACATGTGACAAAATGGAAGCATGTATTTTTAGTGAAATATTTTCATAATTAGGATGTTTCTGTGAAGTACAGGTAAGATTGTAATTAATCATTTTCTAAACTAACATATATTGCTGCATAAACATACACATTTGCTGTTAGTCAAATGAGGGACAACTTTTCCAAGAAGAAGAAGAAGGGTTTGTGAACAGAAGGTGAAGAATGGATTTGTTTTTTTTCCTCACGCGATTGATGTACAGTTGAACTTTGATATTCTAGGGGTATAATTTGATGAATTTCTACTTAGAGTCCATTTCACTGTTTAACTTCGTCAGTAAAAGCTAAAAAATAAGAAATCAAAATATCATTTTGCAATAATATATAGAAAAATATATTCCTATTGTACATGAATGACATTTGTATATCTTGGATTGCTTCTAGTTTAGCTTATGAAGTGTGTGGCCTCTTATATTTGGATGCTTCTCTGCCATGTTATTTTCAATAAGATTAACATGGCTGAAATTCTTCAAATTACAAGACGGCACAGGCTTATTGCACAAAAAACTAAAAAATCTGAAATATACAAATGTCATTCATGTACAATATGAATATACTTTTCCATATATTATTGCACAATGGTCTCCCAATTTCTTATTTTTGCCGTTCTACTGACGAAATGAAGCAGTGAAATGGACTCTAATCAAGCATCTTTATGGGAAAAACTCACATGTAGAAGGATGGACAGATCTGTTTTCTACAAAATCAGCATTGAATGACGGCTTGACATGCAGTAATTGTTATTTCAGAGCTGATTTCAGCCAGGGTAGACTTGCCTCAGTTTCAGTCCTTGATAATGATATCTATCTTCCTTTTCAGGTAACCTGTCTCCTATGGTAATTGCAAGCTAGAAAAGACTCTAATGAACACTGGTAACTGTTTCGCTGACATGGAGATGTGCCCATGGAGATGTGCCCATGCACAGATTATGAGATGAAACGTTATAATGATCCTAAATGGGATATTTAACTGCACACTTCATCCATCACTCTGACTCTTTTCCGTAAGATGGAAAGCCGGGCAATGGAAAATTAGATCAAAATTTGTTATTCCATATCTACTCCCCTGGCTATCTGTTCTTGTCAGTATTTCTTGCAAATATAACTTATATAACAATTATTGAACATCTTACCTTATTTTCACCTAAGACACTAAACAAACGTCAGAATCGTGGAAAATATGGCGATGTACTTTTCAAAACATAATAACCGGAAGTAAAATCTGTCCCAGGATGCACCGATACAGGTGCGCGTGCGCGGTGACCTCTCAATAACTCTTTGTAGACAACAACACAAAATTCAACTAAAATGCACTTTAGCAGGGGATGCACGGCTTTAAACCTAGGATAACACCATGAAGGAAATGGTCGGAGGTTGTTGCGTCTGCTCAGACGAACGTGGGTGGAATGAAAACCCTTTAGTTTACTGTGATGGACATGGCTGTAATGTAGCCGTGCACCAAGGTAAAAAAATTCAAAAAGTGTGCCAAAATCCAGTTAATTTTACTCATAAATTACATCAAATTGTATGTGTAATTCTGGTTCCTCATTTGCAGCTTGTTACGGTATTGTCCAGGTACCCCCGGGACCATGGTTTTGTCGGAAGTGTGAGTCGCAAGAACGGGCTGCTCGGGTGGTGAGTTTATTGAAATTCTGACCTGGCTTGGTGCCAATAAGTTACCTTGACCATGATAAGCTATGTGTATAACGCATATGTATATATCACTACATAAACAGAGTGTCATATTCATTCTATTCATTTTTATTATGCCATACGGAATATTGTTCTAACATATTTTATTAACTTATTACGATTATTTAAAACGGAACTGTGACCTATTGGCCTTACTACATACATATGTTGTTAAGCTATCTCTACTTGGTCTCGAAGAATTGAAAAGCATATGCCAAGATGATCAAGTTTTGCCAATTTATAGATAATAATGTTTCACTTCCTTATTTGACTTTTCATTTTCCATGAACAATATCATTCAAGTAATTTTTTAGGATAATAACAAAACGGGGTCAAGAGTACAGGATATATATGAAGGCTACGTGTTCTATCAGCTCAATATCATATTTAGTAGATGCTGAAGTATAAAAGTTTCATAATTATTTCAGAAATGTGAACTTTGCCCTCAGCGAGATGGAGCTCTGAAAAGGACAGATTCTGGAGGTAGGTACAAATGTCTCCTATCGATTTCAAAATGAAACATCCACTTTTATGTGTATATTATAGATTTCATTTTGCTTTTACGGATTACTGTTTATTCAAATCATATGAAACCACAAACCAGCATAGTGGAAATTGATATTTTACATAGAAACAGTATTTGCATTCTTGAAAACATCAGGCGTTATTTGTTAAGTACAACCAAGAAAAAACTCTTATTTGGTAGTTTTTCCTCATCTACCAATACACTCATCATGTTTCCAGTATATTTTGAAAACATTCAATTGTTATAAATTAACAGCCACCCATCTAGTTTTTCTAGAATGTGGGGTTTACAAAGGAGATATTTTGATTTTGAACAAAAATTCTGTAGTGAACCCCACATTATTGAAAAACTAGAGTTTTGGTATCAATTTGTAACAATTGAATGTTTCTCCAATGTACTGGGAATGAAATTAGCGTATTTTCAGGGAGGAAAATGCAGTGATCTCCCCAGCAGTAAAGCAAGTGGGCGCAGCACCCACCTGAGATTTTAAAAACAGACTTGCACCCACCTGAAAATCTATATGCAGAAAATGAGGAAAACAAGAAAAATAGGCATATTTTGACCAAATTTGGTCTGAAGTTTGAAAATGAAAATTTTGCACCCACTTGAGCAAAAATTCCCGTGGAGATCACTGAAATACCTAAAAACATTCACAAACGACAAAATAAAACAACATTTACATGTACCTTATTATGTTGAACAGTGGTTTTTGTAATGTATTTCCATTTTGTAACATATTTCCTGTTGACTCTGTTTATTAGTGTTCATCGTCACAGACAGGATTTCAAAAATATGAAAAATAAAATAGTCTGTGACAATGAACACTAATAATAAACGGAACTAATTATTAACAGACTATGAACTTAATTAATATATTTCCTGTTGAATATATAAGCACAAATGCCAAAGGGAAGGGTGACTAAAAACTTTAAAGAAACCCAACAAGAAAAGCAAACTGTAAGTGTAAATCTGTCATAAGAAAAGTAGACCCTATATATCCCAAAACCATAATCTAATGTGAAAAGAAACAATGTCTAACATCCCCCTCCCCCCTCCAATCGAGAACCAATATCACAATCCAGGACCAGAACACCAAGGGACATTTCATTCATACTGAAGTCATTACTAGACAAAAATTCTCAATGCGTTTCCGAACCATGTATGCAAAGTAATATTCGTTGTCTTAGTTGTCATGGTGACATTTGTGTTTTCTAACAGGTTGGGGTCATGTGATCTGTGCACTGTTTATTCCGGAAGTTATGTTTGGGAACACGGGAACTATGGAACCAATCTGTATACGGAATGTGCCCCATGACAGATATAATAAGGTAGGGCTGATGAATTAAAATGTCTAAATCCAAGTGTGATATAGTTTAAATCTTGTACAAGGTTGTACTGTTTAGAATGGAGGGTTGGCTCCCAGCATTCTTTTGTGAAATTCAGTTGCCTGGCATAGAACAATTTGGTTGTAATATTCTCCAGATCAAGTATTTAGTCAGGTGATGAATACATTATGGTAATATGATGAACAGATCGGTCCATGCAGGTAAAAAGCTTGTGAATGCTGTGAGCCAGGCCTCCATTCCTGCCTTCTATATGCACTTTTCATTCTTCCAAAAGTAATGGGCAATGTTTGAAAAAACATATGAGCATGTATTTAAATGGTTATGTCACTATGTGGTGAAATATGCTTGAGTTCCGCAAATTTAGGCCGGCCTTGGGAGGCCCTATATTTGGGCAGAAATGAAGGTGTGACATCATAATATTGTCATGGCAGTAAATAAGCCTAATTTTCCAATAAAAATGCTTTGGTAGGTATGTAATGTAAACTGTTGAAACTATCATTTATGTCATAGAAATACAGGCTTTAAAAACACAACCTTTAAAATGCCCATGTAAAAACATTTCCTTTTTTCATGTATCATCTTTCTATTGAAACTTGAAGAAATTGAATGTTTTGATTTTATTCTATATTTCAGTCATGTTATGTATGCGAGGAGCAAGGCCGGGAAAGTAAGGCCACAACAGGGGCATGTATGCAGTGTAATAAACCTGGCTGCAAACAGTATTTCCACGTCACATGGTATGCACATCTTTTGTGTTCATAAGTCTAATAGTCTGGATGTAGAGCCAATAGAGGTGGAAATGCTTATTATATGAACTTTTTTTGCATTTTCTGTTAAAACATGATATCCATATTCAGAAACTGTCGGATGCCCAATGGGCATCCTTGAGGAATTTTTTTGGCGGCCATTTTTTCAAATTCTGTTGGAGTTTTCTCAACTTCAGTCATGTCTGCATTGACATCTCCCAAGTTAGCGAGTGAGTATCTATTTAACACCTTCAGGACTGTTAGCTTGCCAATTCCATGCATGCAAGATGTCGTATCACTGCCAGAGAGACCATGCGCAGCTAACAAGTTTGGGATTTTTAATTTGTGTTCATTTACGGTTGCATTAATGTTAATGTTTGCTCGGCCAGATGATGTTCCCTCCATTATCACTATTTGATGAAAATGGAGAAATTAATATCACAACTTCAAAATCAACACTGAAACAAAAGTTACAGATTGAGGTGACCTCAAGAGGAAACAATTGCAATGTACGTGTCGTTGATGGGTATGCCATCCTTTGGATCATAACATGGCCGATGGCTGGCAAAATTGAAAACTTCTGTATTGCTTTCACTAAGTACATCCTGAGACTCCTAACCGAATCAGATGTATACCTTATCTTTGACAGATATAAAGACAATAGCATAAAGAACAGCACCAGGTCATTTCAAGCTCAATCAGCCAGTAGAGTGTATAAGTTCAGCTCTGACACACCTCTCCCTGCACAGAATGTTGTTCTGAATGTGACTGAGAACAAGGTCCAGTTGATAAAGTGTGTCATCGACCATCCAACACCTGTACAAATTCACAAAGGCAATATTGACCAACGTGATGACTTAGGAACACTCAAGAAGAAGCAGATGTTGTTATCGTACACCAGGTTCTGCATGCTGCCAGTAAAGGCCAACAGAATATCAGTGTACTCAGTGATGATACTGATGTTTTCCTTCTACTTCTTCATCACTGTCTCAAGCACAAATTAATGGAAAATAGCATCATAATGGAGGGAACGTCATCTGGCTGAGCAAACATTAACATTAATGCAACCGTAAATGAACACAAATTAAAAATCCCAAACTTGTTAGCTGCGTATGGTCTCTCTGGCAGTGATACGACATCTTGCATGCATGGAATTGGCAAGCTAACAGTCCTGAAGGTGTTAAATAGATACTCACTCGCTAACTTGGGAGATGTCAATGCAGACATGACTGAAGTTGAGAAAACTCCAACAGAATTTGTTTCTAGATGTTATGGAATTACACCTAAAGTCACAGACAAAATGTCTGATGTGAGATATGCTGTATGGGCAAAGAAAATGCTGCAAAACACATTACAAATGCATCAAAGCTAAAATCCCTCCCAACAACAACATAAGCATTTTCCCAGCATGTGAAGCGAGCTCATTTCCAAGTAACTATATGGAAAAATGCTGATATGCCTGACCCCCCACTTATCCTTCCAACAGATTATGGTTGGGAAATTAACAGCATGGGCTCACTTGTCCCAACAACAATGCCCACGGATACACCCTGTGCCCCTGAAGGAATTCTCCAGCTCATTAAGTGCACATGTGCATCAGAGGGCAATGTATGTAGAACTGGGCGATGTTCATGCTCCAAGGCATCTTTATCATGTACATTGTTCTGTGTTTGCAAGGGTAATGAATGCAATAACCAACATACAAAGACAGTAACTGAACAGGAATTGGAAGAAACTGATGGGGATTTATTGAGGGAAATCCTTGATGAAATCTTAGTAAAAGAAGATAATTCATAAATTTAAGATATATATAGCACCAAGAAATGACCCTTGTGGAACATCATTATTATTATGTAGGTTACTTTTTACTCATTTCAGATATTTTATATGTGAGAAAGAGATCATAATCAGATGTATTTAGTATTATTTATTGATAATTTTGTAGGAAACACTAATATCAATTTGATATTATCACAGAATGAGACATTTCATAAATTGTAAGGTTGGCGGCCATCTTGATTTTTTTTTATTTTTGTCAAGAAACATTTCTGGAACCTAACATATTGGTATACATCATATTAAAACTCTATTATGGACAAAAACAGCAAGATTTGTTTATGTGTATGCTAGTTTTCTGTTCTAATATGCTGGCTAAAATACATAAAACACGTGAAAATTCAAAATGGCCGCCCAAATAATTCCTCAAGGATGCCCGTTGGGCATCCGACAGTTTCTGAATATGGATATCATGTTTAAACAGAAAATGCAAAAAAAGTTCATATAATAAGCATTTCCACCTTCACTTAAAATATGGCACTTCACATCCGGACTATAAATCAGTTGTTTTATTCAATACTCAACTTAATAATTCACATTGATGACGCCAAAGGGAGTGTATTGTGACCCATATAGGAAATCTTATAAATTTGAACCCAATGTTTTATGTTAGTGTTATAAAAGAAAAAAACTAAATAAGTAATGATTATTGTTGATTGTATTTGAAACGTGAAATATTGTATGTTGTATTTTATGTTATATTGTACATTGTATTGTATGTTCTAGTGTCCAGGCCCAAGGTTTGCTGTGTGAGGAGGCAGGGGCGTACATGGACAATGTGAAATATTGTATGTTGTATTTTACATTATATTATACATTTTATTGTATGTTCTAGTGCCCAGGCCCAAGGTTTACTATGTGAGGAGGCAGAGGCGTACATGGACAATATGAAATATTGTATGTTGTATTTTATGTTATATTGTACATTGTATTGTATGTTCTAGTGCCCAGGCCCAAGGTTTGCTATGTGAGGAGGCAAATGCGTACATGGACAATATGAAATATTGTATGTTGTATTTTATGTTATATTGTACATTGTATTGTATGTTCTAGTGCCCAGGCCCAAGGTTTACTATGTGAGGAGGCAGGGGCGTACATGGACAATGTAAAATATTGTGGATATTGTTCACTTCATTATAAAAAACTGGTAAGAACATGAATTTCTTCTTTTATACAATTCATAAACATTTAACAGGGGTTTCATTAGCACTGCATCAGGCAACAGGTGATTTTCACCTGTTGTTTTCACGAAATCGCCTGTTGTTTTTAGAGACTTTTTCAAATTTTCCATGTTAAATTCATGATTTCCATTAATTTATTTATAAGCCTGTTGTGAGAAGTTCTAGTGAAACCCCTGTTTAAGTAACTATACTTGTCCACACTTGGAATTCGAAGTCAAGGTCCAAAAGTCTTCTGACTAAAAACTGTCATATTACTAGTCTATACTGTTCAAACTATATTCATCATTCCAAATTCTCCAATACAGCAGACTGTATGTGCAAATACATTTTAAATCTGTTGCGAAATATTATTTCATTGCTTCATTGTCTGGAAAACCCTGATTCAATAAGTTCACTAGGTTATATTAAAATGAAACGTAAATTATGTAATAGTTCAATCTGTTATGTTTTTTTAGTCATAAATACTATTTATTTCAAAGATTATAGATATAATTCCATCATAATCTAGGTGTAATCGCCCAAATGGGCATTTCTACTGCTGCTTTGAAGTCTGATTCTTGTCTGTATTATTCCAGAGAAAGGATCACCATAATATAAAGGTGATTCCCCCATTCAAGCCCATTCCTTCACAGTCCCCAGATGCTACTCCTGAAAAAACTGGCCCCATTACAAAGGCAGAGTCCAAACAGAAGCCTCAAGCAAAGGTCAAGGTAATTTATAGTCCATTTAAATTGGCCAGCATAATCATTAAAGCATAAATTATAAGCATAATCATTCTTATAAATGTTAATGTAATGCATCCTTGGAATAATTATAGATAGACATATTTTCGGTTTGTGACCCTCGAGATTATCTAACATGAATTCTTCAACACTTTATAATAATTACATCCTCAGTAACTAAATACCGTTCTCAATAAACTCACAAGAGAAATTGTTAATTTATGGTTAAATAAAGAGATTGTGTCCAATTATGAACAACTGTGGAAGAACGAAATTAGGGTAGGGCAAATTATGATTTCATTAAGCGAAAAGTGTTGATTATGATGTGACGACTTTTAGACCAATTTTAATGCAAGGAGTTTTTTATTTTTATTTTATTTTCATATTAGAATCATAACAAGGACCTTTGATTCTATGCTTTATGGCAAAAATGTCACCTAAAATTTTGTTCTACCATTGCCAAAGACCTGAATTAACTGCTTTTCATTTTCATTTTTCAATCTTTTTTCTTAACATGGTCAGGAAAATCATCGGTCATATATTGCCCATAAATCCTCGTAGCATCTCAGTTATTATTCATTATTCCTCAAATATAGAATTTATAAAACTTTTTCAGGGTAAAGAGAGAACAGAGCGATCAGAGAGATCAACTAGGTTACAAAACCCGACAGCCACCTCTTCAACAGTAGCTGAATCAACAGTAACTGAATCAACAGCAACCGAATCTAGCAGCTCTGCATCCAAGATAAGCGCATCAGAATTAGGGTCAAAGTTCACAACGGCTAATTTTACAGAGACTGTAATTACGCCCCAGACCCCACCAACGATCACTCCTAAAGAGGAGCCGATGGATGAGGATGATGAAGACGAAGAGGAAGAAGGCCCAGCTGCCAAAGATGAAGCTCCGAAGTTGGAGAAATCAGAAATAGAGAGACCCCCTAGTAGAGATTCTAATGTTGATGTTGAATCTATTGAGACCCCTGAGAAAAAGCCAAATGATAATAAATCAGCCGTTGAAGAGACTGCAGTGGCTAGTAGTGTATCAGAATTGGCAAAAGAAAAACTGTTTGATTCTAAACCAACAGAATCTGTAACCAAGGCAACAACAGAGGGAGTAACCATAGCAACGACTAGTAATAGTAGTACAACAAAGTCTGAATCTAAAGAGGTTACAACTTCCACTGTGACGACCACTTTCTCTTCTAATTATGAAAACTTTTTAAAATCCTATGATAAAAGCCAAGCCTCATCGACGCCTCCCACGACAACAACGACAACAGATACCTCATCCACAGCATCGAGTGTTCCTATGGCAAATAGTTCTTCCATAATGGACACAATAGACAGTGTAGCCAAGGGTGCTGGGACAGCCTCTCTGAAAAGATCCAAGTGAGTTTTCATATTTTTGCACTTTAAAGATGAAGCTCTCTTTTAAGAAGTGAAGTCAAACAAATGCAAAGGGTGATCCTCCCATGTTTGCATGTATTTTTAAGGGTCTATTTCACTTGAAATTTTAGGTATTTTAATTTTGTGTATCTAAATGCTTAGAATTTCCCCTTTTCAGAATTAGGACATCATTTTTAATTTTGAGTATTTTGCTTAATTTCTCATCAGAAATTGATCAAAATTTCTCACAATTTTCTATTTTTAAGTGGATGTAGATGGGTTTTCAAGTGGATGTATTTTAAAAATCAATGTGTAGGACTATTTGTTATGAATCTTTATTTACAGTAGTGATGAGGTTTCACTCGAGGACAATGCCGAGAAGAAGTTTAAGAAACACAAGGTGTCGCCGCAACATCAACTATCCCCTCATTTACAAGGTCTCCCCACAGCAGTTAAAGATCCCATGGGTTTAATGGCTGGAAGTCGTGCCAAAACTGTCAAAGATTTATTAGCTACAGGTGTTGTTCCAGTCTCGCCACCTATAAGTCCACCGATTAGCCAAACTAAGAAATTACGGAAGAGAAAAGATAGTACCTCTTCAATGGGGAGGTAGGATATTTCGATTTTCGATTTGACAACTGAGTTTAAAGAGAGAATCAGATCTAGCGAGCAGCCTAACAAAAGATTGTTTCAATTTAAGAATATTTCTGGCTTATGTCATTTTTTTCATGTCTATTTTCTAAAAATCCCCAAAGTGCACACTTTATATCAGGAAAAGATTTTTAAAATGATGTGTTTTTTTCTATAAGAATGGTTACCATTCTTATTATTTGGGAGGATTTAAATATTTTCCACCCTTTTTTGCACTTTGAATCCATTATAACTTCACTAATTTATAACATATCGTGAATCTTTTGGGAGATATTGTATTTGAGATTGTAAGGAGTAGATTGGGTGGTCAATTGTACATGTTGCTTGTAATTTTGTCACCCCCATAGATCTGATTCTGCCTTTAAGTATATGAAAAATTATGCTTGATTAAAAGATGTCACCCTGAACAGTATTTCTCATTCGGGTTATTATGTTACCATCACAGCGGTGCTGGGACAGCCCCCCTGAAACGTTTGTGTTTGGTGTCTGTAACAATTGGCAGGTAGTGCCATTTCGCATGTTAATGCCCTGTTCTGTTTGATATAGTGTGGCGATCGCTCGTCTCCTAGGACTAAAAAAGTTTTTGCTTTGATTAAAAGATCTCCTATGAGTAGCAATTTTCAAACAGTTTCATCAAATGAGTAAAAATGACATTGTTTCTTCATTTAAGCAATGTCTATATGAAGCTGTTTTATTTAAGCAACCAATCAATGCATTATTTCAGCAATATGTCTCAGGGGTTTGGAGCGACACAGAGCCAGACATTGTTTGGAGTTAGTCCTGGCAATCAGAGAGGTAAGTAGAGAATTTTTATGTTATAATTTTATACAGGAGTCAATGTAATATTTGTCTTGAAGTGGTGTTCACTAAACACAGGTGTTCACTTGAGAGAGGTGTTCGCGTAAAACCTGCCGAATCTGAACATCATTGGGATAGACAAAGAGTGTATAAACTGGCAGGTATGTTGAGGCTGAGAAGTGTTCAGATATGAGAGGTGTTCAGTTATGTGGGTTTTATCGCACATGCAGTGACACCTGTCTAAGTGAACATCTCTCTCAAGTGAATACCTGTGTTTAGTGAACACCACTTCAAGATACATTTTACATTGACTCCTGTATAAAATCCCCTCTCTGTAGTGAACTCCTACCTACAGTGAATACTTTTTTGTGGCTGCTTTGGTGTTCAATATAACATTCAGGTTTATTGCATATACATGTGCTAAGTGCTTGGTAGTGCCTAACCCCTGTGTGGATCATGGCATGTCATTCAGGATTCAGATTTGGGAAAGGCTTGACATTGGCCAGTTTCAATAGATCATATTTGTCTCATTACAATTTTTTGGGACACCCTTTATTATAAGTATGTGTGAAAGATATTTCTAATGCTTTCAGCATTCACTGCACCTTGTTTAATTGGTATTTGTATTGGTATTGCTTGCACATTTACAATTATATTAGCTTCACAGCTTAAAGGGAATGCGAAGTTTCATGTTCTAATTTACACACTGGCTACTTATAACCATCATCTATCACTTCAGCTCACTCATGGGACATATCGTGTTTGAACTAACATATAATTCAAGTTCAAAGTACCCATATCTGGATCGCTACGGATGCCGCCATTGTTATGTATCAATGACGTCATTGATGCCTTAAAATTGATGCCTGGAAAATGTCGCTATATAATCACGTCATACTCGGATCGCAGAAATAGAACACATTTCACTGATATTTTATAACTATTTCTGTCCGCTTAACATTGTTGCTGCATGTTCATGTCCATATCATATCATATATTTGGAAAAGTTGTTTCAATTTATTCTTCATAGAAATTGAATTGTTGCAATGTATTTTTTCAAATTTTTGTATTTATTTTCTCCAATGTGATATAGTATAGGCTAGGTAGAAAAATCACTAAACTTATGAGATATCGGCTGCGCGATTCGGAAGTCATCCCTATATTCCACTTGAAAAATATCCACTAGAATTATTTTATATAATGATAATTCACTGGGTCAAAAAGGATAAATCTGTTCAAATCCTGTAAATGCTTTCTTGTATATTTAACCAATAAATGAGGTAAATGCATTAAAATATACAAAATGGCATTTACACATAAATGCATTACTGTACATCAATGGGTTATTTAACTAAGATTAACGTGACTAATGTGTTGGCGTATTTGTGGTGAAAATAAGTAAGTTATATCATCGGCTGAACGCATTCAACAAATAGTTGCATTTACCATATTTATGTAAATACACGACATACCATTTAAAATATCAAAATCTATGCCAATGTTCATTAATGCGCTGATGAGCAGTTACGGCACATCATTATTAACCTTAAGGTATACGTCGGCAAATAGGCATACTGCCGCAATTGCTTTCTTACCTAATCATAAATGGTAGATTTCTTCAATCTGTAGTATTCTATTCAAATATGTATAGGTGCATGAATAGGTGCATATTGGAGAATGAAAGAAATAAAACAAAAAGTAGTAATCCAATGAAACAGTAACTCCCTAAAGTGTTTAGCCATTTAAATTCTGATGAAAAACGCAAACAAAAAAACGAAAAATCTATGTCGTCTAAATGATACGTATGTAAATGTCAATCTCCTAAATATTAAGATTGGCATGCGCAATAGCTTTACAAGGACATGCCACTGTCATATTTTCAAAGAATAATACGTAATGTTTAATTTTTCTCAGTTTGTTAAACGACCAATTTCAATCATCATATCACCGTAGCGACATTCGATATGACAAAAAAAGCTTTTCAAAATTCAATGGTATTTCACCTTGGATCATGACAAGAGAAGGCTCAAAACATTCAGTGATGCGGGGAGACGATGGGGTCGATTGTAGTATGATATTTCATTTCAACGACGATAAGGCAATTGCCGTATTGATAGTACGCCAATAGTTTAATATTTATTTTATTATATATATATATTTTTGTTAAAAACAATTCCTGATTTCGAGCTCGAATTTAATTATATAACAAACGTGGTAAGTACAGTTCTACAGTATTTTCGAAATAATGATTTTCAATTGAATGGCATACAACCTTTTGTTTTTCTATATCGGAAAATAAGTGGAACTTTAAAAGCTTCAGTCACACTTGTTCAATGCGACCACACGTCGATCGTATTTCCCTGAAATCAGTAAATTTCTGCGGCATACATAGGAAAACTACAGTCGACTTAAGGTCACCCTGCTGTCTACGTACATGACATATCCAGTTTTTACAAGGCGTAGAGTCGGAGTTAAAACTTTTTCTTTCCCGTGGTCACCATAGATATCAACACGCAGCAGCCAAACCGTAGGTCTCACGACGACCGTACATCGGGTTCACGGATTTCATAGGTTACAATTGACTTTTCCGAACCATAGAACCCCTTCTGGATGCATTCAGAAAAAACTACACACGTCGTAGGGCCGCCCTACGCTGATCGTGCGTCATCATTTATCAGCCGTACGGGAATCGTAGTTTTTCCTCATAATCAAGATACGCCGTACGGCTATCTTAGCAAATGTGACTGCTAAATTATCTGACTGCAGAAATACTTAGGCAACCGTAGAAATCCTACTCACCACAGAAATGATAGACCGTACGGTGACGTGAGGCTAAGAATCCATGATAGTAATTGAATACGGTTTTAAATTTAATTTCAAAATTTTAATTTCTTTGAATACCTGTGTTAAAGATAAACATAAATGCAATGAATCTTAAAGTACGAACACGTATTTTTGTAATGAGACTAGCAAATTAAACCATTGCATTCTTGGAAATTCAAGATGGGTTGGTTGAATTAATCTTATTATGTTTTATTCAAATAGTTTGCATTCGCCTGATAGAATTAGCATTCTCTGTTCGCATTTAGCGCTAGACCTAATAAAAGTTAAGAAGTCACGAATCCCAGATTGTTTCAAGTGTAAATAAAGAATAAATCTAACCTGCATTCCATGTCTAGATAGGTAAAAAGCAATTCCGAAAATGCCGGCGTTAATATTCTATTAATATCGCTCTTTATTATGGGTGGTATATACGTATTGTTTTAGTTCATTTGAAATGATTTCTTTGGGTTTGGAATGGCAACAACTCGGCATTCATTTTTTGATTCAAAAATGGCGCCACAAAACTTTTGGAATGCCAAGGCATCAATCTAGCATCAATGACGTCATAACAATGTCGTAAAGAACCACTTTACGGTTGAAATGGCAGCTCCGTGGTCCAGTTCATATGCAAAACCCGGGGCTCAATAACAATTAAAAGGATAATGATAGAACAATAAAACTAAGTTGGATTGAAAGATATATCTTTATTCTAACTTATTATCAAGTTTAAGGGACAAAACTTCGCATTCCCTTTAAAGAAAATAGGATATAGGCATGGTGGCCAGGTCCCTAGAACATGCAGGAGAATCATGGTTGTCACATTTTAAAATGCAGAAATGAGCATGAGGTAGATTCTACAACAGCCAAGACTGCACAAATTGATAGAATAGTCAGAAAATGCAAAAATGATTAAGGGGGTGGAAAAATTCTTCAACAGCCAAGACTGCATAATTGATAGAACAGGGAAATCTGCAGTACTTATTTGAGTTGAAATGATCAGCAAAAGGCATGACTCGGGTGTTCTATTTAGATTAGATTGAAATTAATGTTGGCACTCTGACAGGGCTCTCTCTCTGAGTTGCCTTTAGTTCTCCTCTTGACACACTTTTCAAGCTTTTTCCTTTCAAATCTTAGTGAAAAGTCTGAGGGTTTTGGCAATTCTGTACCATTTATTGTCTTGGCAACATGCCTGTATACATTATTTCTTGCTAATTTTATTCTTTTCTGCTCAGTTTTGCATTTTAAATAATTATCACTTATGCTTCATATTTCTTTTGAGTATGGCTTTATTGTTTCACCACGCGGTCCTAACTTTGACCGTTAATTTGAATTTTTGACCTACCAGGTGCTTGAAAATCAAGGATTGTGAGTCTCATACTGCACTGTTCTTCTTCAAACTTATACCATTAAAAGCAAACAAAATTGCCTTTCTATTGGTGCATTACTTTATTGTAAAGAGTCACTCGTTCTTGCAGCGTTTTGTTCCCCAGCTGTTAGAAGGCCTCCTTACAGCTGGGGACCAAAATGCCGCTGGAAGTAGGGACTCTGTTGGAAAGAATAATGAACCATCAGGAAGGGATTTTTGTTTTGTTATGCTTTGAATGGAACAAGTTTGAAGAAAAACGGTGCAGTTTGAGACTCGTAATCCTTGATTTTCAAACATCCAGTAGGTCAAAAATTCAAATTAACGGTCGAAGTTAGGACCGCGTGTTCACGCTTTGCTTCATATACGTTTCCATTTAGGCATTGAGAATGGCCAGCTTACTATCGCAACATCTACTGCATCAGTGGCATCATCACATGCTAGGCAAACTGTGGCCGACACTATATCAGTTACATCATCTGCTTTAATAGGCTCAGGTATAGATCAAACAAAATAAGAAATTAGAAAAACATTCATGAATATGTCTATTTAGTTGATCTGACATACGTTTTTCAGAAACATTTTACATGTGTCTTCTACTAACTGATACAGTTCTATGACTGTAGTACATACAAGATTATCTTAAAAATGCCTGTTATAGATGAACATTTGGTAGAATATGAATTCTACCAAACAGATGTACGTTCACATTCACACCAGTGTTGTTTTTAAACTGTGACCCGTTCTTTTATACATATGTTTATATTGTAGGCTGGCTGGATCCTAAATCAGAGGTGTTAAGCAATGGTCCTATTGGAGCATTAATGGGGCCAATTAAACCCAAGGCCCTCTCGATGGCTTCTAAAGGTTCAAGCTTCGGAGATTCTTTAGGGTCAGTATGTTTATTAAAAAAATCAAGATTACATGTGTTCATTGTCACGATTATTTATTTAATCTTGGAGTTAAAAAATTATGCTTAAGTTGAATTTAAACAAACTGAAAAGAAACTTAAATGAGGAAATCTGAGAAAATACTTAGATATTCCATAATATTTACCAACAAAATTTTTATTATTCAATTTGTCTAATTTTTTCATTTATTTTGTTGTTTAATGAGCCAGGAAACTTAACTGACCATTATGAAGTTTGCTAAAGTTTAAAATTTAAATTTAAGTTTAAAATTTTATTCTGTCCATTGTATTTGCATTTTTGAAATTTAGTGGTCATTAATACTAGATTATATATCATTTGTTCTAGTCATTTGTCCTACTTATCGTGATGTCACATGTCATATTAGAAAGTATTATTTGATATTATTATGAGAATTAAATTAAGCTTTGTGTTCTCTCCATGAATATCCGACTTTCTCATGATATGTAATCTAATTTTGTAATCCCTCATTTTAATTAAGATTTTTACCTATCAACCAGATTTTACTAGTCATGGGGTTACAATAGAACAATATGCAAAGGAATGACTCATTTTCTCTGGCATATATTGGTTGAAAACATGAAATATGAACACCTGCCAATTCAAACACTTTTGGGAGTCCTTGTGGTGATTGGACTGGACAAGTTATATTGTACAGTATATGACCTAATGTAATTGTTGATTATTTTGCAGAGATATGGGTGGGTTCAGGGTCCCCCAGAGCATGGAACAGCTACTGGAGAGACAATGGGAACAAGGATCACAGTTCCTCATGGAACAGGGTCAACATTTTGACAGTAAGTGCCAAAATCCAAAAGCCCCTTATACTGCCAATTATGTAATGAATGGTGATGACTTATGTAGTATGGTTCCCTATTCATTAATGTCAATTAATGATCTTATTCTAACGCTTCAGAGGAGCAAAATGGGCCAAAACCCCCTGGAGACAAAAATCGCCGAGGATCAGTCTTCAGATTGATTTACCACTCCTTTTATAGTAGTTTATACTCAGTCAGAGCAGAGATTGTTTTGTATAGAAGGGGACCAGGGAGACCACAACAATTTGCAGAGTGATTAAAATCCCAGGTTGAGTGGACTTATCAACTGAGTTGATATCAACTTGTTGACTGCCATCCAAAAATTAGATAACAATCCTAAATATTAGATAACAATTTGCAGAGTGATTAAAAACCCAGCTTGAGTGGACTTATCAACTGAGTTGATATCAACTTGTTGACTGCCATCCAAAAATTAGATAACAATCCTAAATATTAGATAACAATTTGCAGAGTGATTAAAAACCCAGCTTGAGTGGACTTATCAACTGAGTTGATATCAACTTGTTGACTGCCATCCAAAAATTAGATAACAATCCTAAATATTAGATAACAATTTGCAGAGTGATTAAAAACCCAGCTTGAGTGGACTTATCAACTGAGTTGATATCAACTTGTTGACTGCCATCCAAAAATTAGATAACAATCCTAAATATTAGATAACAATTTGCAGAGTGATTAAAAACCCAGGTTGAGTGGACTTATCAACTGAGTTGATATCAACTTGTTGACTGCCATCCAAAAATTAGATAACAATCCTAAATATTAGATAACAATTTGCAGAGTGATTAAAAACCCAGCTTGAGTGCGCTCCTCAATTGAGTTGAGCTCTCCATGATTGCTAAAGCTGATAAGATCTGACTGCAAACTAATTGCTTCTTCTATGAATGTTCATCTCTCTGGTAGTAATGTACTATTAACGAAGTTGTTGATTTTCTTTCTCAGAGATATTTATTTTTATTTTGACGTTTCGTAGGATATCCATCCTGATTCTTCAGAAATAGAATTAGATTTGAATCAAACTGAAATAATTAATTATTACATAACAATGAGACAAATAGCAACCGTTACTATAGAAAACTTCAATGATGTTACAATTAAAAAATTATTGAGACAAATAGCAACCATTACCATAAAAAACTTCAATGATGTAATTTAGAATTAAAAACGTTACTTATTGCTTCTTGTCGTAATTTTACATGTATGAGTCATATTAATTTTGCAAAATGTTATATAGTCAAATTCCAAGGTGATGGGGCTATACAGAGTGCAACATAAGTGTTAGCGTGTGGTCCAGAACTCACTTTAAACCAGTCTGAAATCTTTATAGTAGGAAACACACTTCATCTGACCAAGCCTAAATTGACCAAACCAGCCCCTGATTAGCCTGTACTATTTTTTTGTGAAGTTGACCCTAGCCATTGGATTAGATTGATATACAGGGTGGGCCAAAGAACATAATTTGCATAATGTACCTGAACTGATACGGTCTGATGACCACCCAGTTAATAGTCCTGATGCAAACCCCAGTGGTTATAGGGTATGGGGATTTCTCTATGAGATTTCATCTAGGCACCCAATCTCAAATATTGACCAACTAAAGCTGGCAACATTTAGATAAGTTGAACGAAACTTAGCCAACATTTCATCGATACATTGTACTGCCATTTCAGTATGGTGACTTAGACTTAAAGGCTTACAGGGTGGTGGACAAATTTAAATCCTTTTTTAGATCAAATACAATCCAAGTTGAAAGGACTTTTTACATTATTTTACTACTTGGGATCGGGACCTCTGGCAAAAGGTGTATGTAAGTTGGGAAATAAAAAAGTTTTTTAAAAAGGTGACGTTTTTTGGCCCACCCTGTAGTATATATGTATGCATTTTTATTTTTCGTATTGTTTCAGTTGCTTCATTGTTGAACTGCCTCCACCAACTCAGGGCAGAAAACCACCGTTTGGAGGAGCATATTCAATCCCTGATGACCCGTCGGGATCACCTGCTAGCTGTAAATGCCCGACTATCAATACCTCTCACCCCAATCAACAACCAACGAGAGAGAGATGGCAGCACCAGTCAGGGAACATCCCCAGAAGCGGGAAGTGTAAGCGCGATCAGGAATCAGCGAGTGAATAATTTTGTATCCCCAGAGAGCAGAGCGGAGACTACCCAGTCTGGGTCTAGTTCACACCAGGTTAGAACAGCTGTTGATATATATGTTTTCAAATGACGCAGTTTTGAAAATTTTGAGAACAGATTAGAAAATAGAAATTTGAAATGGGCCAGATCTTAATCCAGGATGGTCAACCCCTGAAATGGGGGTTAAAATATTCTCATTGTCAAAGTAGCCCCATGACGAAGTAACAACATATGTTGAAGTTAGATGGAGGCCATCTATTTGTAGTGATAATATACCATATTTTATGAAAGAAGCATTATATCAAAATGTATGGGAGAGCTGACTTTACATTCTTTTGCAAAAAACAACAAGTCATATATACTGAATTTGTTCTTGATAAAGATCACTGATTGTATAAGACTATGATATAGTAACATGTAAATGGGCCTTGTATGAAAAATGTAAGAAAAAATCAACAGTTTACAATTTGGCTTTTAGTCGTTAATTATACATTAACCCAATTAGAACCAATTTAATTGCTTTTGTTTTTTAACGATTTTTTCCAAAAATTTCAATTGTAGAGAACAATAGAGGTAAATATTTCAATGAATTGAAAATGTAAAAAGGGCAACATTTGATATTTCTAGGAGTCAAGTTATAGCCGTGGTCAAATAAAAGCTCCAGCATCCAACAGAGAGAACAGAGTTCAAGGTCACAGGGATACAGGTCAAGGTCATGGTCAGAGTCCTGCACAGAACCACGTGGGACACAACAGCACAGGAGGCCAAGGACAAAGTCCACACAGTATGTCATGTATATTAACAAAGTAATTTTTACCACGTTCCAGCATTAAAGAGGGGAGGTGTATAAAACTCAGGTTTTGTTTCAAATAACATTGAAAATAAAGTGGGCACTGTTTCAGCATAAAGTTTAACTATCGGGGGGAAGGACTGAGCCTTTGTTCAATTTGTCTTGTAAAAAAATTCAATATTGATATTGAAATATAAAATTTAGTCTCTTGTAATGGTTATTTTTTGTCACCACAGGGAATTCATCTTTTTTTGAGACAGGCATTCAGCATCTGAGTTTGGTTGCTATCAAATACACAATTTCAACTGGGTGGTGACATTTTATTAATACCTTATTTTATTATCATACAATACTGCATTGATTGCTTATTTAAGCAAAAATCAATCTGAAATGTGATTTCAGCTAAAACAGTTCTTTACCCCATTTTAGGTAACCAACAGGGACTTAGTAGTCCTCATGCAGCCTCTAACAGGACAAGAACACCAGAGTCAAGGTCAACTGGTCAAGGTCAACCACAGGCCCCAGGTCAAGGTCATCCAGGTCAACAACCACAGGGCCCAGGTCAAGGCCACCCAGGTCAACAACCTCAAGCCCAAGGTCAAACGGCTGCTATAGAGCAGCAACGATTAATGTTCCAGCAACATCAACACATGATGAATCAAGCCCAGGCTCTTAGTGCAGTAAGTATAGATTAATAGCCTATTTTGTAAAAATATAAAGTAATAGGGAGGTTAGTAGAACTTAAGTTAAGTAAGTGAGCATATTTGAGCATAAGTGAGTAATAGTGCAGTGAGCAGTATATAAAACAATAGGCTATTAGGCTAATGGGCTATTTCAGGCCATAATGCAATAGTAATGGGGAGGTAAAGCAACACATTTTTATGAGAACTTGTACATGAACATGCAGTATGATGACCCCTAGGGATTACTGTCGCTTTCTTGATTTGATTTACAAGGGACTTAATTGCAACTATTTTACTTTACATTTATACGCATTTGGGTAAGTAAATTTTAAAGAAGGGAGAACCAGTCACTAGGGGACTATAATTCTACATGTTGACATACAAGTTTTTTTTTTTTATTAAATCTATATTTTCACATATTATTTTACAGGTTATTAACATTGTTTACTGTAGAAGGAGAGAGAGAGAGGAAGATTGATGATTTTTGTCACTTTGTATGATGATATTAATGCATGTTCTTGAAAAAATGTGTCGCTTGACCTCCCCATTTACAAAAGAGATTCATTCAAATGAAACCATCTTTGATGGAGCTGTTTCCATGTAAATTGCAGTTTACACATTTGTCTCTTGAATATTTCAAATTCATATATATTCATGATAACCTTGACGACATGTATTAAAAGCAATAAAGAACGTAAATTCTAAATTGCTGTGATAAGGATCTAGTTGTCATTGCCATTAAACACTTTGCTTCTCTTTTACACCTCGTTAAAATGTTAACGTTGAACATTTACACATCGGGTGTTTTTGTAGACAGATAAAGTGACAGAAAGCATTTATTGTGTCACCACAAGAAGTCTTTAGAATTCTCCTTGCACTTTGTAATTTGAATTACTGTACTCCCACTTATATTTGACGCTATTATATTTCGCGTTTTGAAATCTAGCGACTTTTATATTTCGCGTTTTGAAATTTTTTGAAATTTCGCGGCTATTAATTTCCGGGAATTTGTCATACAGGATCACTCTTCCAAATTTGATATCAGCCATGGTTGTTCCTTCACCCAATGATTTTGGCTTCTAATTTCTCTTTTTCAAAACTCAAAATGCCACGTTTTTTTAAACGATTTTAAATCGGGAGGAATTTCGCGGCTATTATATTTCTCGAATTTTCCAAAACTCGCGAAAAGCGCGAAATATAGTAGCGCGCGAAAATTACAGGGAGTACAGTATCTCATAATGGAGAATTTTAGAGACACACAATGCATTCATTAAGAGAGAATATTATTTTATTAATTTGAATAGTATGCTTTTGAAGCAGGAGGCAGTTTTATCGTTATTAACGAATCGTTAATAGCGAATCGTGGATTCGTTTCTATGGACACCCCATCGTTAATGGAATAATGAGACCCCTATCCATACTTGTAAAATCAATCATGGAAAACGAATAAATCGTTAAAAATCATGACGTCTTCGCGAATCGTTTACTTTTGAGATAACGGAAAACTCGTTATTAATAATTGAATTAACGATTCGTTAATAACGAAACTTTGGAGAAATAGCCTCCAGGTGCACACCTGTAAAATGCATCCATATAAGCCTTTAAATATTGAAAATATTTAATACATTTAGTGTGAAGGTATTAAAATAATTGCACTACTAAAGTAATGCTTTTGAAAAACATTTACTGATGTTGTCAAAAGTACATCCAATATCATGTCTTATTAAGATTTCTAGGCCTTTCCCCAATTACCATTACAACTGCTCCATGAGAGGGTCTATGGTAGTTATTGCAACAATAGATACATATAATATTGACATCATTATTACGTATATGGTATTTGTAGAATAGTAATGCAATTAAAAGTTCTCACATTTTGAGGTTAACAAAGAATCAACTCATTGTAATACAGATCGGAGCCGCCAGTTTTTGTTCAGAAAAAGTAAATGACAGAATCATTATTAATTTTTACCAAATCATTACTAATTTTTACCAAAAGCCTAAAAAATTGGCATTTTGGCCTCATTTCTAAGAGAATGAGCATTTGGGAAAACTGGCCTCAATTTTTACAGTGGGTGGAAATTTAAAAACAGTGCTCAAAATTTCATAGAAGTAAACAAAGTGTTTCCGCTCAAGCGCAGGATGTAAATTAGTGGCCTTCATATTTATATGAAAAAGTTGAAAACAATTCATGCAACCATTTAGGCAATGTACTTACCTTTGTATTTAGATTTCAAATATGATATCACCTCGACTGAAACATTAATAATGAACCATAAAAATCATCATTATTTCTTTAATTGCAAATGAGTTTCTAAGAAATTGGCTTACAAACTTATACCTACAAAATTCATAACCTCAGCAGTAGCGTCATCATCGTTGTCATTGTCATCCTGGTTATGGCCATGGCCACTGTCATTGTCTTGGTTGTCGTCGTCATTTTTGTCGTCGTCAGGAGCAGGCAGTTCTATTCGATAAAACCTTTTCTTTCTTTATCACTACAATTTTGGTATGATATTGTCATTAGGTTTGCATATAAGCAGGCAGTGTCCACATCTCACTTTTGTTGCCTTCACATTTCCAAACAAATCTTTTGATAGATTGATTTGATTATTTTAGGGATGTTGCTTGATGTAAAATCTGGAACTGACATTTGCATTATTATATATATTATATATATAAGGAAGGCTAGTGTGAAACCTGTCTATTTCGAGATAAAGTTAATTAATCAAGCACAAGCTCTCCCAATTCACTTATTTTTCCAGTTTCATAATCATTTCACTTTATACTGTTGAAGAGTATTAGTGATGTAACATCCTGACTTTCTTACATTCGTCACTGTAGTGTAAATAGAGTTGCACCATGCCATGAAGGCATCCAGAGATTCAGTAAAGTACAGTGTACTTTCAAAAATGTGCAGAAGTAGTTGCTTGCTAATGATGCAATATTCTAAATGAGATGATTTTCAGTTTTGTTAATGCAATTGCAATTTGTCTGTTTATGCAACAAAACAAAGCTGATATTATTCACATCATATTCATAATATTTAACAAAACAAATCTGATATTATATACATCATATTCGTAATATTTAAGACATTCTTACAAGATTAGCATTCAAAGCAGCATAATCAATCTCACAACATTAATATATTTTTTACATTTCATTCGTATTACATTTTAACTATACTTAGGTCCTCATTAGTCCTCTTGAAGTACACTTAGGTTCTCATTAAGTCCTATTCACATCATATTCATAATATTTAACACATTTTTACAATCTCACAACATTAATATTTTTTAAAATTTTTTTACATTTCATCTGAGATACTATTAAGTCCTATTGCAGTATATTTAGGCCCTCATTGGGTCCTGTTACATTATACTTAGGTTCTCATTAGGTCCTGTTGTTATATTCTCAGGCAAGTTAGGTCCTGTTGTAAGTCTTCATTTGGTCGATGTTGTTATGTATGGACAGTACGGCCATGTCATTGCTGTTTTTATCTCCATTGAGACAGATTCATCTCATCTGAATAACATTACATCTTCGAGCATTCAACTCTTTCTTCGACATCTAGAGCAACCATGTTATCATGCACTTATGAGACTGATTCACCTTATCTGAATAATATTACGTCTTTGAGCATTCAACTCTTTCTTCGACATCTAGAGCAACCATGTTATCATGTACTTATGAGACGGATTCACCTTATCTGAATAACACTACATCTTCGAGCATTCAACTCTTTCTTCAAGATCTAGAGCAACCATGTTATCATGTATTGATATTGCAGCCATGTCCGTCCCATGGACAGTAGGATTATCTACAGTATTATTCCTGTGTTCTTCTTCCTTGAAATTACAAGACATCACCCTTTTCATGGCTGTTTTTATCTCCTTGTGTCGCCAGGCATATATCCAAGGATTTATCACTGAATTCCCACGGGCAACACTACCAGAAACTGCCATCACCATATATGAAAGTAAAGGTCCATCCTGTCCAATTTTTAAGACAGTTGAAATTAACAGGAATTGAATCCAGCTTATCCAGAAAAATGCCATAATTGTACATGTTGTCATGGTGATGACTCTGTCTTTTTTTAATGTTGTCATCCTTTGGTTGTCTAACACCCCAGCCGTTTGGCCGATATCAACAATTAAATTTACTTTCCTTATATAGTATGCCATGGCTATGAAGAGACCAATGTTGATTATGAGCGCAACACCGATTTGAACTTTCAGTATTGTTAGGAATGTCTCATCAAATACAGCTGCACTTCGACATATGTCATATGGTTTCCTTATGAAGGCACCCATAAACATCGGCAGGCATACAATAAAGAGCTCGGAAATCCACACCACGATAATTATCACACAGATTGTTTTAAATGTGATATACCTAGCATGCCAGTTGGGGTATACAGTCCTCAAATAGCGCTCTATCATCATCAGTGTTAAATGCATTAGAGACATTAACATAGATGTTGTAACCACAAGGATCTTTAAAAAGCACAATAAGCCATCGATCTTATCTTCTATGCGGATGATGAATGGCAGATAGTTTGTGATTGCGTGAAGGAAACACATCGTCAGACCTGCTATGAAGTCAACAATCGAGAGAGACACTATGAGGGTGTTGGTCACAGTCCTTAGATTGCGAAACTTGGCGTAAATCATGAAAACGAGCCCATTGCTGAAACAAATCAGTATCCCCAGAATCATCTCCAGGATCATTAGAGTTATGGCCAGTGGTACTGGAATCCACTTAAACATTATTTCTGTGCCATTGATTGTACCATTATTTATTGTGCCATAGATTGTACCATTGTTTAGTGAGCTGTTGATTGTACCATTGTTTAGCGAGCTGTTGATTGTACCATAATTGTTGTTCATTGTACTATTGGCCATTGTATCCATTGCTTTGTTCATTGTATCCGTTGTTATGTTCATGGTATCCATTGATGTGTTCATTGTATCCATTGATCTGTTCATTGTATC